CCAAAAAAAAAAAAAAAAAAAGAAAGCTGAAGGAAATCTAGGACTGAGGGACTATGGAGGCATTCTCCCGAGTTTAGAGGTTACACCAGGAATCCTGGAAAACTGACGAGGAGAAAGAATTAATCCTAATGATATAAAATGTGCACTGATGGTGGAAGTGTAGGCCACACTATGTAGGTCAGTATGATTGGGACATAAAATCTGACATTATTTCTCAGCTCTGCCACTTCCCTGTCATGACTCTGGGTAAGCCACCTGCCCTGTCTGCAGCCCCAGTTTCCAAATCTGTCAAATGGGGACGAATGTCTGCTCCCTGCACTGAAGAGGAACAGATGAGATCACATGGGTGAGACAGCCTAGCAAAGACAAACGTCCCACAGATGAAAGGCTAGATGTGCACCGCCACCGCAGCAGCCCCATGGGCACCGTGCTCCAAGTGGAGCATGGGAGCTCGGGCGTCACGTTCAGCCCCTGGCTTACAACGGAGGACCCTGAGGTGGCCACGGGTCCATGGGGCTGTGCCCCCTCTTACCACTGCTGATGGCCGAGTTTGCAATGACTGTAGCCTCACTCCACTGGTCGGCACTGGAGACTGAGTAGGAGCGCTGGTGCATGCCATCGGGCCGGCTGTTGAAGGAGACCAGGCTGACGCCGCTTGCCATCTGAGACCCAGATGCACTAGTGACATTCCCTAGGAATAAACAAGTCAGGTGAACACCACGGCGACTGCAGACCACAGAAGCCAGCGCACGCTAGTCTACGGGGCCTACACGCTGGCCCACAACGTACCTTACCACCGAGAGCTGCCCTCGTCCTGCCTACATGGCAGATGAAAGCACCACACAGAAAATACTCAAGAGGAATAAAAAGGTGACGCAAATCTTGATGGTGCTTGGAACGCAATGTGAAGAAACCCGTGCTTCAGATGAGGGCACACAAGACAATCCCGAGCAAAAACCTGCACCCCAACCACAACCTCCAAGTCCAGTGCAGGTCAAGACAAAAGACCCAGGAAGTCCTGCAAAAGCACTGCTGTTGGGGAGGCCAGCGAGACGGGCGCTACGGGAGCCCCGCTGTGTCAACATGTCAATGGAACTGAAAATGATCACCGATCGGGAGTCAACTGTCTGATGCCAGAGGATTATTTTCATGGTGAAGCTTTACTTTATGATCAACACAAATCAAAGCCCTAGACACAACACGGAGGGAACGCAGACTCTTAAACCAGGTAAGTTTACCCTTAACCTTGAAAAGACTAAGCAGAGGAAAAATAACCTTAGCGACTTCACAGCACATGGACTGTGATGAAAAAATGATTCCATTGTATACTTAATGATTTGAATCAGTTGCTCAACATCAAAATGAATTATTATCTGGTCACTCCAATTTTAGACTCAAAATCATAATTAAGTGCCTTTCTCTAAAGCTCAGCCAATCATACCTTGCTGCTTGTGAATTAGTTTGTTAGATCTATAAGCAGATCTTCAGAGGTATTAGGTTTTCTTTTGTAACCTTCTTCTGATTGTCTTAGTGAAGAACCAATTAAATTCTAAACTGTTTCAATAGAAGGTTTTCACAGTATAAGATTTTAAATACACAGCCCATATTAGTAGTTCCTAAATCTGGCCAATTACCAGAATTTCCTGTGGAGCTTTTTAAAAGTAGAGGCTTCAAAAAATATGGATTTTGATTCAAAAGAGCAGAGGCAGGGGCTGGGGAGAATATGCATTTTCAAAAGTACGCTGGTGATTTGGATGAACAGCCAGAGGTGGGAGCCAGGGCTCCACTACAAACAAGCAACCTCTCTGCAATCCTGTGCAGCACTGTAAAGTTACAAAATCATTTACTGAAGCACAGTATGTGACCAACACAACAAATACGTGATTGGTGAAGACTAGGGATTAGTTTTTAAAAACATATTTCTACCTTTAAAAAAAAATAACTATTTTATGCTATTGTCTGAACTGGGTACATTTTGAGTATCGTACATAAGGGAAATTATTCATACGTAGGTCTACCTGATTCCAGAAAAAAGCCCAAAGTGACACCTTAGCAAGGGAAGGATTGGAAGGCCACATCTTCCTACTCAAAGTGCGGTCCTTGGACCAACAGCAGCAGCACTGCCTGGGAGCATGTTGGAAATGCAGAATCCCAGGCCCCACCCTCACACCTGCATCTTAATGAGATCCCCAGGTGATCCGTGTGCACATTAAAGTTTCAGTGGACCTGACAAAGAGCTCAGATTAATTAGAGAAACACTCAAACCCAGACAATAACTACAAAAGGAAACAAACACTGGTACTAAAGCTCTCCACCACCATAGACCATTGTTATCAAAGGTGCTCCTAGGGGAAGAGCACAGGAGTGCGGGTTGGAAGCCTTGGGTCTTGGCTCCTCTGTCTAGTTGTAGGGTTTTGAGCCAGTTTTTCCGTTCCTCCCCATCTCTGATGTCCTGAGAGCTTGATTTTAGGGCTTGGGCATGCCCTACAACCCTGGAAATGCGCAGCACCACCCTGTGCCCACATCCTGAATGGCAGTGTGACGGTAGGGCACCCAGCCTACTCCTGTACCAACCCTCACTACAGTCAGGGAGGTGGGCCAGGCATGTGGCAGAGGATCAGCCCAGGGCCAGAGAGGTGGCACTAAGGGGAACATCACATGCCTCTTCCAGTATTCTCCACTGTTACCACTGAGGCCACCTGTAGCTGTCCCCTGGGAACAGTTCTCCCTGGCCAGATCCCACTACCACAGGGTATTGAGAACCCACAGCAGGCAGCACAGATAAGATGCCCCCACCGGCAGGGGCGCAGCCCAGTCTCCTCCTGCAGCCTGTGCCCACCGTGTTCTGTTGCGCCCCTTCTCCTCCTGCCCTCCTCCTGGGAGGGCGCCCATACGGCTACATCCACTGTCTCCAGCACCATCTGGCTGCCAGCTGGGCTCACCAACGAGGAGCATGCAGGAATTTAAAGGAGGGAGATGGGTGAGATCTGGTGTTTGTTCCCGGGCTCTCTTCCTGAGCAGCTGTCTCGGGCTGGCCATGGGCCTCTCTGCTGTAAGGCTTGCTCAGGTGACCCTACGCTGTAGGGCCCATGGGTAGTCCTGGCACCATTTCCGCCAGCCCCAGTGCCTGTCCTCCACTGTCCCCTGTGCTTCTCTTCCCTGCGGGGACCCCAACCCACCAATTGGAGCTGCATTCGGGGAAGAGGCGCTTCCCAAGAGCAGCGGGGCTCCCTTGGCCCCTACTGCTTTTATCACATGAACTCGTCCAAGTACACAGAGGCTTCAAGACACTGCTAACATTTTTACGGCAGGTGGAAGGAAAAGGGAAAGGTGGAAAAGAACAGTGGAAAAGAACAACGAAAAGGTACATGCAAGCAGAGGTGAGACACTTCCTCTGCTGTGACCCTGACTTCTGTGCCAGGCACCTGAGCCCCTCCTGCCCTCAGAGACACCGGCCACGTTGTTAAAATGTCAAGGAGATGATTCTTTCCTCACTACAATGCCCAAGACCCCTGACAAGTCAGCACCAAGTGTGGAATCTGTCCACAAACCTCATTTTATACCAGCATTAGGCACACAAAGTCCAAACACCTGAAAAAACAAAACTAAATTCACTCTGTCCATTGCAGCACCGCTTGCCTCACTCATCCTCCCGTGAGAGTGTCCCCAGGACAAGCGGTCTAAAACGTCCCAGAATCATCTCCTTTATAAGGCAGAGGAAGTTATTTTAATGCATCTATCACTGACTACTTGAAACAAAACTCTGGAAGTATCGACAAGCACAGAAAGACAGCCAACTCAACCCGACTCAAGGTGGGAATGCACAAAACGCTCAGACGGAGACAGCTCGTGGAGAACTCACTGCACGCTCTACATCTCAGGGCCAAATATCGCACTGCCGGAAGAGGTACGGGGAGATTGCTTAAAATGTCCTCACAGATGAAAACAAGCGGACGGTGCCACTAATGCATCACTGAAGAACCTCCTGCAAGACTGTGGGCTCCTGGTGTCTGGATGGAAGAATCCAAAACGGGTGTGCAAGATCTTCAGAGAGCAGATTCTCAGAGCCCTTTAGCATGTGATGGCCCCCTTATCCCAACCACACTCAGTTCCCAACTGTGGGACTAAACAGAAACGACAGGGCTGAATTTTGGCCAATGTGTATATATGGACACACAGGTATAAACATAAAATTTTAAACCAGATCCATACACTGTGGCCTGGGGTCTAGGCTGAGCTCAGAGATGCATTTTTTATTTTTTTCAAAGGAGAATTAAGTTGGGAAATGTTACCAAAATCCATGTTTTCTGGCATCACTTAGAATATGAGAATATCTGGCAGTCATGGGCCTGTGTTTGTGTCCGGAAACAATGAGCTGACTCTATCTCAGATCTGTCTGTAGGATGTGAGTGGACAACACTATCACCAGGGGGACACCTGCCACCTACCTGCCCCACTGCACGCAGTGACCTGCCCACCTCGCCCCTGAACTTGGTTACTTTGAGTTACATAAACCTTCCAAAAATATGCGTAGGAGGATTCTCATTTTCAAAATAAAACATTTATGGTTTTCTCTTAAGGGAGTAAATCTCTTTTCTATATATACTCATTCACTCTATATTAATATCAGTTGAATTTTTTCTGAAAACACCAACTAACTATGAAGTGTCTTCTGAGATGATAGGAAATACACTTGCTGAACTAAAAAAAAAAAATTACAAAGGGTAAGAAATATTGTTTCTGCCCTAAATATATAGTTTAGGGATCCACAGATACTTGCCTTTAAATGTAAATGCATGAAGACAAATATTTTAAACCAGTGGTCTACAGACTCAGCCAGGACCAGGGGAGCAGCCGTGCTGGCTAAACACAAACTGTGAAGCATCTCGCGCCCCAGTGTGAGCAATCCCAGGCCAGTGGTCACACTCTGAGGCATTTTTACTTACTTTCAGTAAATCCATCGAAGAAAAACAACCCCCAAATGCTTAGTGAATATCTTAAATAACTGTACACATTTCAAATCTAATTATAGTTGGTCATAATATTTAATGCTTATTTTTACATACACATACCACAACAAAGTCTGATATGTCATTTCATTTTTGTTCCTGAATGAATGTCATTAATTAACTGGCCAAGTAGCACTATCCCTGCTTCCAGTTTCTTATCTGTAAGCATCTAGCAATACCCTGCACTATGTGTGACCACGCAGAGAGTTTTCAACACTTTTTAAAGTACGTTTAAGCATAAAAGAGAGATGCTATGTATAAAACCACTTTATACTCAAAGTACTTGAGAGCTACATTTTTCATTGAATGGTAATTAATTTCAAGTCAACAAGTTATCAATTAAGGCTGAGGATCTGAAGCTCTCATTTGTGAGAGAAGCTGTGACTTTATCTGATTGCTTGAGAGGTAGGATCTTGACATCAAGACCACCTAAGATGCACATGTGCCTAAACGTTATTCTAGCACAATCAAGGTCAGCCTCAACTGCACGGGAACCACAATGCTGGGCCTTGCTTAGCTCGAAGCAGCCCTGCCTGGGTGGAGGCTGAAGGCTGAAAGGGCATCTAAAACCCACATGACCATCAACACACAAGGAAGACATCTAGCTCTGGTGCTGCTACACTAATTACTTAAATCAAATTCTTACACCTTTACCTGACAGCCAGAAGGGTATGTTTATGAA